GTCCGAGGTGTGCCGGCAGTACGCCGGTGTGCTCGTCGGCTTATCTCACTGCCGTCATTATCTTCCGGAAGGGGTCATCAAAGTGCTAGTATCAGCACTTGTACTGTCGCGGATCAGCTATTGTCTTACTGTTTACGGAAATGGTTCGCAGCGAAATTTTGACAGACTCACCAAAATTCTCAATTTCGCGCTGAGGGTGATTTTTGGCCGTCGAAAATTCGACCATGTTTCCCGGCTCCGCGAGCAGTTGCGTTGGATGACGCCTCGCCAGATGGTACAGGCTCAGACGTTGGAACTGATGCACAGGGTGCTGCGGCGGGGTGAACCAGACTCGCTGGTTAACTCTTTTACCCGATGCTGTGACACTCGCATGAGAAGTACGCGACAGGACCACCTCTTCCGTCTACCCAGGCCGAGGACAGAGGCCGGGAGGCGTCGCTTCGCCTATAGAGCGCCAGACCTCTACAACTCGCTGCCTGCCGGAACCACCGAGCTGTCTCACCAGCGTTTCGTCCGAGCAGTGAGAGCCCATGTTTTGACCTTGTGAGACCGTCCGTGCGTATGGGTCGTGGGATGTGGTCCGGGCTGTGAGCTGTGTGATTGTTTTTATTGACTTGGGGCAATAATAGCCACGACTGATTGTGGACTGCCCTGCAAATGTAATACATACATGCATACATACATACAGTGTATCGTCGCTCTCCAGTCTTGTCCTCACTATGCTCAGAGCTTCGGTAGTGGGCACATTGGTGAACAGACTCACCACATCGAAGCTTACCATTTGCATGTTCGGCGAAGGTCGCATGGCCTGAACCAGTGAGACGAAGTGGGCTGAGTTCTTGACATATGTAGGTGTTTTGCCACTCAGTGGGTTGCTGATCTTGACGAGGAAGTATGTCTTGAAGTATGTCATACTTCCAGCAGACAAAGGAAACACCACCGTTGTCATGGACAAGAAGGAATACGACCACAAGATGAACAGCATTGTGACAGATGGATCGTACACCAAACTGAAGAAAGACCCAACCCCGGCCTGTGAACGCAAACTAACAAAGCTCCTTAAGAAGAACAAGGACAAGGAACAACTCACGGACGCCCAGTACAGAAAGCTGAGCCAACATCACAGCAAACTTCCACACATGTACGGGCTGCCAAAGGTACACAAGACCAATGTACCGCTAAGACCAATAGTAAGCTACCGTGGCTCAGCCTGCCATCCTCTGAGCCAGTTCTTCGTCAAGATCATCAACCCACTGAGTGGCAAAAGACCTACATATGTCAAGAACTCAGCCCACTTCGTCTCACTGGTTCAGGCCATGCGACCTTCGCCGAACATGCAAATGGTAAGCTTCGATGTGGTGAGTCTGTTCACCAATGTGCCCACTACCGAAGCTCTGAGCATAGTGAGGACAAGACTGGAGAGCGACGATACACTGCCCGGAAGAACGACAATCCCGACTGATGACATCATGGAACTCCTGACATTCTGTGTCACCACCACCGCCTTCCAACTGGGCGATGACTACTACCAACAAACTGAAGGAATAGCCATGGGATCACCCCTGTCACCGGTGATCGCCAACATCTACATGGAACACTTCGAGGAACTGGCCTTACAAACAGCACCACTGAAACCATCCCTGTGGCTGCGATATGTCGACGACACATTCGTCCTGTGGGACCATTGCGAGGACATAACACCGTTCCTAGACCACCTCAACAGCCTCCGACCCTCCATCCAATTCACAATGGAAACAGAAGTCGACAACAAACTATCATTCCTTGACGTCCAAGTGGAGAAATCTGAGGAAGCATTCAGAACATCGGTCTACCGCAAACCAACAGCGACCGACCGCTACCTCAACTTCAAGTCACACCACCCAGACACAGTCAAGAAAGGTATCGTCAGATGCCTGCAGACCCGAGCCACCAACATCTGTGGAGACGAAGCAGCCAGAAAGATGGAAATGTCACGCCTTACCAGCACCTTCAGGAGAAGCGGATACCCAACGAGCTTCATGAAACACAAACCCAAGGAAGCATCCCAACAACAACCAAGGGATAAGCCCATCGCGACAGTATCCCTCCCATACAACAGAGGACTGTCAGAGAAGCTAAGGCGAATCTGCGGAGCATACAACATCAGGACGGTGTTCAGAAGTACCACCACCCTCCGCAGGTCACTCACAAAGGTCAGACCGCCAACCACCAAGGAGAAAACAAAGAACTGCATATACGACATCCCGTGCAGCTGCGGCAGGTCATACAAGGGCGAGACTGGCCGCCCACTGGCGGTCAGGCTCGAAGAACACAGGAAGGCTACCATCCGAGGCGAAACACTGAAATCCGGTGTGGCGGAGCATGCATGGTCTGAAGGAGATCACAGACCTGCTTGGGATGATACCACCATCATCGACAAGGAGCCACACTGGAAAATCAGAAAGATCAAGGAAGCCGCACACATGGCGCTGGCCAGCAACCCCATCAGCAAGCCAAGCGTTGACATCAGCCCAATATGGCTCCCACTACTAAGGAAATCACAAAAAACATCTGGGGGATAATGACACCAAGTTTCCAGCTCCATAACGATGTCTGCCTGGATAGTGGAGTGGTTAGAACCGTGGACTATCACCGGGGAAACCCGAGTCCGATTCCCGCTGACTACATGAGCTTTCGAACGGTATGACGCGTACTGCGTAACGCCACCAACATCCAGGTCCTTCTAAGGGCCAAAGAACACCTGACGACGGCCGGAGAAGTAACTGGCCGAAACGTTGTGAAACTAACATCTCAACTCAAGACGGGGACGAAAGTCCGACAACTAACATCAGTGATACTAACACCTTGTCTCAAGCATTCAGAAGAACTAACCTAACCTACTGATTTTTGCCTACCAGGCATAAAGAAACCTAACCTAACCTAACATACTGATTCTTGCCTGCCGAGGATCCTAACCTAACCTAACCTAACCTAACCTAACCTAACCTAACCTACTGATTTTTGCCTTCCGAGAATAAAGAAAGTTACTTGCAGGAATAGATTGCAGGCAATAGTAAACCAAATATTTTCAGGTTAAGTGGTTATGCATCAGGCTTCAGGCCGAAGGCCTGAAGCCAGATACACAACCACTTAACCTAAAAATATTTGATTTACTATTGCCTGTAATCTCTCCTGAGGCATTGCCTACGGCAATGCACTGCTTCGCTCCGAGCACGGGGCAACACTTAGCCTTACAGGTTGCGCTAAAATACCATTTTCCTCCAAAAATGTTACATTCAGACATTATAAATCCGATAGCCTACAACCTTTACCACTGTTTTCTTCCTACCACGGAATATTGAAGACTGAAGTAGTGCGAAGTGATTAAAAAATAGCATAATATAACCAGAAATACCATTTATGGTGCGAACTGCGAACTGAGCTAATTTAGTACAAAAGCAACCATTTTAAGGTGCTGGAAAAATCCCGAAAAAAATACTAAGGAACTGCCGACAAAGTGCTGATGACTGTTGGAAACCTTATAAAAATTATAGGCATATTTCTTCATCATCATTATCATAGCTATAGTGATGAGTGAGCCTAAAAATGATTAGCCTGGCTATGAATTAATTATCAAATAAGTTCTACCAGCACTACCCCAGTGCTTGACCGGTACTACCAAAAAGTTTAATTGTTGTTTATAATAAAAATATTTTTGTAATGTTTGCTGAACTTGTATTCAGCTCGTCTCCAACTCTCAGGCCTCACAACCCGGCGCTCAGGCACGCCCACAGCTGACTGGCCGGGCGCAGCCGGCCGCGCCCGGTGACCGGGCGCACCGCCTCAGGGCGGATGACGTCACGCAAACGGGGTGCGGTCTGGCGGGCCGCACCACGCCGCGGCCGCTACGCCGAGCGCATAGCACAGAACGCTACAATTTTCTTTTCAAATATCACCGTCTTTGAAAATAATCACCCCTCCCCCACCCAAAACCCCGATTCCCTACACTTCCCCTAGTGTGTTGGGCTAAAAAAAGAGTACCAGCACTTCCTACCAGTACTTGACCAGCACTACCTCATTAAATGCAAACGTTGAATTGTTGTTCATAACAATTTTTTTTCAAATATCACCGTCATGTGAAAATATTCCCCCCTCCCCCACCCAAAACCCCGATTCCCCACATTTTCCCTAGTGTGTTGGGCTAAAAAAGGGTACTATATTTCCGCGTAGATGTTTCGCAACAGCTGACTGCAGGTTCTCACGACAGCTGGCATGTTGAAAACAAACTGCGACTGGAAATCGTGGCGAGATCACGGTAAGTTAGTTATAGCTGGAAATTATTCGTCAGATTAACTGCATGACAGTATTGTTACTAAACACGAGTTTCTCTATAGAATGATGTCTATATTATAGGAATTAACTAATGTCTGAACCGGGACAGGTGGGCAGTGTGACCTTCCGTCCGCAGTGACATCCGTCACTGCGGACGGATGTCACTGCGGACTGTTTTAGGCTGCGGCGGCACGAGCACTTGCACTCTTGTATCACTTTCACTATCCATGGTGTGGGGCTCAGACTGCGGAGCGGCCCACCCGCTGCCACCGGATGTAGCGGTCAACTGAGTGTATTTCAACACAAGCGCCTCTAGTGGCGACCTGGCGAGGTAGGCACATGACGTAAGCGCACTACGCACTACAATAGGAAATATGCGGGCTCACTAGAATGAATCCCCGGGTGATTCGCAGATCTCGGCAACTCTTCAGGGAGTTCGCGGTTATCCTGGAGAGTCTTGTTCATCCGCGGACCCCGTCCCGTTTATCCGCGAATCCGCTTGGCGTTCGTTCGCGGAGGCCCTAGGGATTCTGTGGATCCTCTAGGAAATCGGCGGATCCACCGAGCTCGCAGACACTCCCTCTAACATTGACATGGAAAATGCGTCAACGATCTTTGGGGACCACTTGTACAGTGTTTAGGAGCTTGGTTCTGCAATCTTACCCACGAGTTTGTCTCTCGACTTGCAGGGCACATGACCACTGTGGTCTGCTAACGGCCGCCGCGCTGCTGCTACTGATGGCTTCAGCTCTGGCTGGCGACTGGTGCGAGAATTTCGAGTCTGGAGCTGGAACATTCTGGGAGCAGCGCAGCTTCAGCGGACGCTGGCAGGCCAGCACCTATTCACAAGAATCAGCTTTGACCACCGCAAAGATACCAAAACCGATCACCGGCGAGGTAGGCGGACCGCGGCCTTTGGCAGTGGCTGTGGCGCATTACATTCTCATTCGGTGTGAGAAATCCGTCCGCTGAAAAGACAATGTCACAATACGTTCTTTCAAATCTATCAAGCATTTTTGAAGTAAGAGAAAAATAAGAATACTAGCCTTATAAGCAAGCATGATTACGAGCGAGCGAGCGCAGCGAGCGAAGCGAAGTCTTTTGAATATAACGGAAAATCTCAGTATGAGCGGCCCGGCCCGGCCCGGCCGCGAGTTTCCTAAGTGTGGAACTATTCATACCGTCGCCCGTTCGAGTGACGTCATCACTCGGCGCTGGCGGCTAGGTGCATGGATTGGCGGGTCCTTAACCCTATTCCTGGCGGGCTCCGCCGGGACAAGAAACTGGCGGGGGGGGGCCGATTCGGCCCCCCCCTGAGATCTCGAGAACGAAGCAAGATAGCGACAAGCGGTAAACGGCATCGGATACGCACGGCCAAGATCTACAATTTTTACTAAGGTCATTTTCAGGTCAGGTCAAAGATGACGTCACAGGGGTCGAAAAAGTCAAAATGGCGGCGCTAGATATGGAGAGAGTTTTTCTCGAATAACTTTCGAATTAGTCAAGATAGGAACAAACTAAGGGCATCATCGTGATCCTCTCGTCAATCCGCATCGAATGATATATATGTTGACCTCGAAAGGTCAAGGTCAAAGGTTGACCTCAGGTCACGTGACCTCGAGGTCATCATGTATATCATTCGATGCGTCTTGACGAGCTGAACACAATGAGACCATCCACGCGTCTGTATCTTGTTCCTGTACGGAGTTATTGGCCAAAAACCTTTGGTGACCTTTGATGACGTCACATGACCTCACAGCTGCCCAACAGCAAAACAGACCTCAAGGTAGTGAAGGTTGATCGTATATGAAGTCATGTATGGTATATGGGGCCATTCCGACCCGTTTTAGTGGTAAAAACAGGGAGTTGATTTTTCCCCCATTGACTTATAATGGGGAGGTCGCGAAATTGACCTGACCTTAGGTGACCGATATCAAAATTCCGAGATATACAAATTGCACATACTGGTACCCTAACTAAACCCTGAAGAGAAGAAATTGATCGGTCAAAAACTCTAGCTCTGGCGTGATTGCAAACTTTTCTGAGGTAGGGTCACAAAACCGCCTCTGGTGACCTGACCTGAGGTCAGATCAACTCAAAACTTTCAGACATGTTGCGTAGAAGCCTTTTAGGAATAGTCAGAAAATTTGAGCTTCCTAGCTCAACGCGTTTGGGAGAAATAACCAAAAAACCTCAGGGGGGGCTCCTGAGGCCCCCCCCCCCGCCAGGAATAGGGTTAAGTTGGCGAAGAGGCGGAGCCAGTTATCCTGCGTAAATATTTAGTCAGTCTTAATTTTAGCGAGTTCCCTAGCTAGAGAAAAAGTAACTTGTTTTGTTCTACGTGAATATATAGCCGGTGTTATTTCAGTTATCGTTCGTGCATTCGCCCACCTTGGAAGCATATCTCCTACGAGGTGCTTGAGTTTTGACGCTATGGTTTGTGCACTGCGTTTCGCTTCAGCATTGAGCAAATGTCTTCAGTATTACGGCTGGTGATACTGCCTATCGGCGTTGAATGATGTTTGACACCAATAGGACATAAATTAGCAGGTAGTGCGAATTTATTATTAGCAGATTTATTAGCGAGATTATTAGCAGATTTATTAGCGGATTTATTATTTATTTTATTAGCAGGTAGTGCGGAACTATAGTGCGGATAGTGAGTGACGCCATCTGGACCGATGCTGGAGATGGTAGCGCCACCTGCCGCCACTTAACTGCTCGCTACTTGTAACAGTGCCTGGCTGGTGCTTTGTGTTGATTGTTTGAAGCGTAGTGTAGTACCTTATGACGCATAATATAAGGTCACTTTGCAAAATGTGAGGAGCATGGACGAATTAATTTGTGAGACATTGACGCCTTAGCAATACATAATTGTTCCCAACACAAGCTATGCATTAGATTTTAATGTAATTGCTCAACTTCCCATAATAACACCAGGGGCGCTAGTGCCGCGCGCCGCTAGCCTATAATCGTGCAGCGATTGGTCAGCCGACTGTGAGCCATGACGTCACAGCCTGTAACGTCATCTCGGCGAAGCTTGCGCCAATCATAGACCTTAGGTATGGGCAGTTCCACACTTAGGAAACTCGCGGCCCGGCCCGGCCTGTAACGCTTTTGAGAGTCTTATATCTCAGCAACCGCTGGACCGATTAGCTTGCGGTCTTTTTCACTGGGTAGCCCCATCCCTTCTACCCCGTAATTGACTACCTTTGATACATCTCAGTGACCGTCGTGGCACGTGGCACGTGAAAAGTCAAGGGTGTTCAAGCTGTTTTGAAAAAGTAGTGATTTTGAGACGCTCATATCTCAGCAGCCGCTTGGCGATTGTCTAGCGGTAATTTTTGTAGGGTAGCTGCATCCCTTCTACCAAAGGTCGGATACTCTTGATCTATGTGAGTGAACCCCACTGCACGTGCAAAATAAAAAAGAAGAGGTGCCAAATTTGTTCCCATTTCAATAACTCGGTAATTACTGGGGCGATTTCGCTGAAACTTGGTATACAGGTAGGCACCCACCAGGCAATGCATTCCCACGTGTTGCGGTTAGGGTGCTACTGCACGTGCGCACGTGCAGGGGGCGCTTCCAGATCTCGAGAACGGCTGGGCCGATTGCGCTCAAATTTGGTAGGTACACGGTTGGGGACCGGTTAGTAGGATGCCGTGCAAAAGTCAGTTTGGACCCCGTTTGCACGTGCGCACGTGCAGAATGCCGCTTCCAGATCTCAGGAGCGGCTGGGCCGATTGCGTCCAAATTTGGCACACCGCTAGCGACCGGTTAGAAGGGTGCTTTGCACAAGCCCGTTGGAAGTACCCTCTCGCCCTTCCGCACGTGCAGAGTTCACTATCTCGCTCGCTCGTTCTTCGCCCTTAGGGCGTTTTACTGGTTGTCACACATGGTTACCAGCAGTGCTGCGGAGTCGATGATTTTTTTGGTGACTCTGATTCCGACTCCGACTATGGTTTTAAAAATCGGCTCCGACTCCGACTCCAGCTCCGACTCCGACTATGGTTTTAAAAATCGGCTCCGACTCCGACTCCAGCTCCGACTCCGGACGTTTCTCTCAAAATCCATTTCATGATAATAAGTTCATAGTGGATGTTTTTATTTTGTCTGGAAGGATCCTTTGCGCATTCCAAAGCCTTGCATGGAAAATACAAAATATGCTAAATACATAGCATGCGGAATTTAAAACAGGTTCAGGTGAATCCACCGTCTTCTGCTTCTTTCGCTGAAAACGTTCGTCCAAAACAGGAATGTTTTTTTCGACAACCACTGGTTTCGAAAGTTCAACGAGCGTAGTACCTGGGGCATTGCACGATAGATCGTACCATTTTTTCCAATTTGACACCCTCATCTCTCGGAATTTGACGAGAATTGGTCTCAGGGGTAATCAGGGGCTCTGAATCCACCTGTAACAATTTCAGGCTTATCAGATGAGTAATTTTTGAGGTATGGTGTATAACATTTTTTGGATCTTGCTCTGCAGCGCTAAGTTTGGCGGGCTGTAACTCTAAGACGGATTATTCAAATGCCAAATGTTATATAACATTGAACTTGCAATGAAACAGAGATTAATATGTATTTTTGAAATTTCGAAAAATACGCTATTTTTGATATATGACATATCGAGTTTTCTTTTTTTTTGTATTTTTTTTTTACTCTGGGACCAATTTTTTTTTTGAATTTTTATTTCTTTAAAAAAATATTTGGCTTATTGTTAAGAAGTATGCAAAAAATTAGGAAGGTGTTCTTTCTATAAATGTATTTATTTTACGTCACGATAACGGTTTCGAATAGTGATTTCGGGAGGGGAGCTTACAAATGGCGTGGTAAAGCTGCCTAGTGACATCACGGGTTACTGAAATTTCAATTGAAGTCTGAGTCATCTGAAAAAAGTGAAAAGAGGGTTCATCCAACCCTCTTTCCTATAAGCGCGAGGGTGAAAAAGGCTGTTTGGTTCTGACATTGTTTTGGACGCCAATGACCATAGCTGTCTGAGATGAAAGTTACAGGACGCATACATGGTGTCCTCCAGAGGTCTCACAACTTGTATATCTGGGAATTTTTAAAGGTTACATGAGGTCAGGTCGGTCACGTGACATCACTATTATAAATCAATGGGGAAATATAAAAACTGTTATTTTGGCGCCGAGAATGATCTAAAACTATCTCACGTACATGGTATCATGATTTCATGCACTCCTTGCGAAGTCCAATGCTTCACTTTTGCATTGTTAACCTTGCGTGACGTCATTTATGACGTCATTAGGTTCGTACGAGTTTTTCGTCAATAACTCCCGACTCAATGGAGCTAGAGAGTCGGGAAAGCCATCAATGGACTAAGGAAGACCTTCCGAATCGAATGATATGCCATATGATAGGGTAGTGTGGGGTAATTTGAACATATTTTTACGTCTTCTCCGTTGTACCAAATTCCAGCTCAACCCTGGATGAAGGAAAACTGTTTCAGTAGCGCATGTGTCACTTGCTTTCACCATGCAAGCCTCATTTTTGGACGAGCCGAGTATACCTACCTTGAATAGCATAGCATCACTTCTCCACCAAGTCACGGTGTGTTCAAATTGCCCAACCGTGGGGTAATTTGAACATACTGTCTTTACCTGCCATAAAAAAGATAGTCTCGCCAGCACCGATGTTGTTTGACGCATAAACAAATAGGCAGAGCAATTCTAAAAATAGCATCATTTGAAAAATCAACACAACAACAAAAATAAGAGTTGCAGAGTATCAATATCTGCACGCTGCACACCGGTCAGTTGACAGAATTCGCCTCTCTTCAATTAACAGAACGTCTATCATCTCCGTTCGATAAAAACTCTACCAAACCTTACTTCATCTGTTATAGTGGTGCCAATCGGAACCTGGACATTCGG